AGAGTCAAGTCTCTCTTATAGAATTCTAGAGAATTTAGGTAACTCCTCTCCATTCTAGGAGATGGAGCTTAATTTCTACCCTCCTGTCTTGAGGATAAGCTGTGCATACTGACTTGCTTCATCAGAGTATGAAGGATGGGAAGAGAGGGAAAAGATGTTTTCATCCAAGATGAAGGCAGAATCTTGTGTCAGAGAGTGTTTCATGATCCGATCCTACACTTCTAGCCTTCAGTCATTTTCTATCATTTCCAGGATCTGTTCTCCTTACATGAATGAATGTGTCTCCTAGAGGAACTAAGGTAAGTTAAGCAGATAGAGGAACATCTGGTTGTAGAATCTTAGGATGGTACGAGCCTCATGTCATGGGAATCAGATAATGGCCCATGTTCCCTCCAACAAAAATGGTCACTTCTCCCAACTCTCCTCTTCACATCCACGGTCCCTATAACTGAAGGGGTCCAGAACATTTTCTGACTATATTTTATTACCAATGCTTTCTTACTCTCTTCATTTCCTCAAAAGAAAATAGTACAGGTATTCTAAAGCAATGAGTTGGGGGCAATTTAGAGAATAAAAAGAAAGTCATTATGCACAAATGTTAAGTTATTCAACCTTGAGAAGCATTGTTGCTTAGAATGAAAGGGGATGCTAGAGTCTTGGCTTCTGCCTCAGTTGTTAGCATTCCTTGTAATGAATGCCAAGTCTCTGGTGATCTTACTCCTCACTGAATGGTTATTATTCAACCGACTGCCTTTATGACTAAGAGCCCTCAGCTGTCTTTCCCAGTCACATTATTCCCTTTCTGTCCTTCTACTACTTTCTTCGGCAGAGAGAAACCCCCACATGGTCCCCTGGCTTTAGGAAAGCCCACCTGAACACACAATCCGTTGAAGCAGAGAATCCAGGAACAGTAAGTACCAGGCAAAAGATTTTTGCATCATCTTTTTTTTTTTTTTTTAAGATTTTATTTATTTGAGAGAGAGAGACTGAGATCCAGAAATCACGAGTTGGGTGAAGGGCAGGGGGAGAAGCAGACTCCCTGCTGAGCAGGGAGTCCAATATGGGGCTCAGTCCCAGGACTCCAGAATCATGACCTGAGCTAAAAGCAGATGCTTAACCTACTGAGCCACCCAGGCACCTCTTCTTCATTTTTTCAATGAGGAGTTCCCAACCTTTTGTGGAGAAGAGCTAGCTAGTTATTTCCTAAACCCTTACAAAGTCTAAAGGGCTTTTGCCTCTACCCCTTCTCAACAGAAATGCCACCTGTCAGCTGTGATGGCCCCTGGTTGTGCAGGGCCTTTTTTTTTTTTTTTTTAAATCTGGTGGGAATGCCTGCCCTACAGAGCCTGAAGGAAAGAAAGGTCAAGCACTTTGTGACTGTCATTTAAATTTAAAATTGAGGTATGCCCCCCTGCTAATTGTGGCTCCAATGTAAATGTAAACAACTGAAAAACCAGTTGGCTTAGTTCACGAGCAGGGGAGCTTTGGTAATTCATCAAGAGAGATTTATGCTCAGTTGCGGCAATAGGTTGCAAAGGGGTGTGTTTTTTTAGAGACACAATTTTTTTGATGATTGAGTTCTTTGGGAAGGCTCTGCATTTAGGCAGACAGTGGGGCTAAGGGGGAAAAATGCCTATTCTCCAATGCCTTCAGCTCAAAATACATTTTGTTCTGCATTGGCTACTAGGGACCCCTTAAGCCTTATTCCAAGTAGAGGCTGCTTGCTGATGATGAGATTTGACTGAGTGCCATGTTGTGATTGCTGCTCACCACTAATACCTTCCCCACTAATCCTTGGAATCCACACCCCTCAAGCTGTAAAGGCAAAAGTACCCAGTTTGTAAAGGCAAAAGTTCCCAGTACCACACATTACAGTGACAAGAACCACCTTTCTCTGACATGTGTGTTCTGGTCCTGCTCCTAACCACTGCTGCTCATGAACCACTGTGGTCTCCACTCCTGAAGCCAGGGTAGCTAAGTCCCAGAATGTAGGTTAGAATTCTTTCACCTCAAGGGTGACCTCATTCTCTGGAGAGAGAGCTCCTTCTGTTGAGAGATTTGGACCAAGTCTTCAGGTTGCAAGACTCCAACTCATGGGGCACCTGGGTGGCTCAGTTGGTTAAACCAGGTCATCACCTCAGGGTGCTGGGATCGATTCCCATGTTGGCTCTCGGCTCAGTGGGGAATCTGCTTCCCCACCTCACCCCGTGTGCCTTGTACGCCCTGCTCCTTGTACCCCCTGCTCCCAACCCCCGTCCATGCTCATGCTCACTCTGTTTCAGATAAATAAATGAAACTTAAAAAAAAAAAATCTAACTCAAACTAGCTTAAAAATAAATAAATGAAACTTTAAAAAAAAAAGAATCTAACTCAAACTAGGTTAAAAAAAAATCACTGGCTTACATAATGGCAAGTCTGGGGAGGGAGGGGAAGATGGCCTTAGCCACAGTATTCTAAGTCACATGACTTCTCTCCTTCTCTACCTTCTGACTTGACTTCTTTAAACCCTTGGCGTTTCAGGGACGCCTGGGTGGCTCAGTTGGTTAAGCGGCTGCCTTCGGCTCAGGTCATGATCCCAGCGTCCTGGGATCGAGTCCCATATCGGGCTCCCTGCTCGGCAGGGAACCTGCTTCTCCCTCTGTCTCTGCCTGCCTCTCTGCCTACTTGTGATCTCTCTCTCTCTCTCTCTCTCTCTCTCTCTCTCTCTGACAAATAAATAAATAAAATCTTAAAAAATAATAAATAAATAAATAAATAAACCCTTGGCGTTTCTTCTTCTATCTCTTCCTCTGGCTGATACAGGCTATCTGCGGGGAGGGGAGCACATCCTATGTCCTCAGAATAGAAGAAGAGTTTCTTGGTGTCTAGGTAAATCCCCAGGGGAGGATTCTGCTTGGTTCTAATTGAACCCACTGACTCATCCTTGACCCAATCACTGTGGCAGAGTGGGAAGGATTCTATGATTGGCAGCCCCAAGAGGACCAAAAGGAGTAGGGGTTGTTCTAAAAAACAGGAATCTTGGCCAACAAAAACAACAGATGTTTCCTACAACAATATATTGATAAGTACCAGAACTCCTACAAAAAAGACACATAACCTCATTTAAAATTGGCAAAGGTGGGGTGCCTGTGTGGCTCAGTCGGTGGAGCCTTCAGCTCCTGGGATTAAACCCATAGGTCTCCCTGCTCAGCAGAGAGCCTGCTTCTCCCTCTCCCTCTGCTGCTCCCCCTGCTTGTGCACTCTGTCAAATTAAAAAAAAAAAAAAAAAATCTTTAAAAAAACCTGGCAAAGTTCTTGGATAGATATTGCTCCAGAAAAGATATACAGGGGTGCCTGGGTGGCACAGTGGGTTAAAGCCTCTGCCTTCAGCTCAGGTCATGATCATCAAGCCCAGCAGGGAGCCTGCTCCCCGCCCCCCCCCCCCACCTTCTGCCTGCCACTCTGCCTACTTGTGATCTCTGATAAATAAAATCTTAAAAAAAAAAAAAAAGATATACAAATGGCCAATAAGCCAAGATGCTCAGTATTACTAGGTTGGTTTGCAAATCAAAACCACAAGATACTACCCACTAAGATGGCTATAATTAGATAATAACAAAGATGTACAGAAATCTGAATCCTCACACGATTATGGTGGGAGGGTAAAATGGGGCAGCCACTGTGGAAAACAGGCAATACTTCACATGGATTAACATAGGTAACATATACACATATATATGGAAGAGATGAAAATATGTGTTTTCAGGAAAAACTTGTACATGAAAGTTCATAGCAGCATTATAATAGGCAAAAAGCAGAAATAACTTTTTGATGAATGGGTAAACAAGATGTGGTATACCACACAAGGCAGCCCTAACAAGAAGTGGAGTAGATACATGCAAACATGGATAAACCCTGAAGACATTATGCTAAGTGAAAGAAGCTAATCACAAAAGACCACATAAACATGCCATTTATACTAAATGCCCAGAATCTGTAAATCTAGAGACAAAGATTAGTGGTTGGGTAGGGCTGGGGGAGTTGAGAGGACTGGGAGCGATAGCTCAAAGGTCCGGAGTTTCTTTTTGGAGTCGTTAAGATATTCTCAGTTCGATTATGGTGATGTTGCACAACTCTGTAAATATACTAAAAACCGTTGAATGAGCACTTTAAATGGGTTAAGTATATGATGTGTGAATAATATACTAATAAATAAATAACCAACCAGCGTTCCTTCTTTATGTCCTGCTCCCTATTTGGAGTCTCTGAGCCACGGGGAAAGCTCCATCTGAAGCTAAACAATTCCAATGCCGCTTCTATTTCCTTACAGTTAACTCTTTCCTCAGTAGTACCATGGTATGATAATCACTGCCTGGGAAGGCTATGATTTTTAAAAATATACACCAGGGTTAATAATGTACAGTATCTGACACATAGTTAACGCTCAATAAACACTACTGTGAGTGTATACAGCAATGCATACATATATACACAACAACATGGGGACTGCTGGGGAGATTTTTTTAACGACCAGGATCTGGAGGGCCGGTCGGATCGGTGGTCTCAGCCCTGGCCGCCCTTGTCTCTCCAGCTCTGGGACACTGAGGAAGCATCGCAGCGCACGAACCCCGGGGCCAAGGAAAAGTCCCGCATCCCGGGCCGAGCAACGGCAACGAACGGGATCGAAGGGCGTCCAGAGGCCGCTCCACCTAGCAGACAGCGATGCCACGTAACCGTGGGGAACCGGAACGCAACAACACATGTTACCCAAGCCTAGAGCCCAACCAACCGCTCACCGCATAACAGCAAGCGGAGAACAATGCGCTCAGGCCTGCGCGCGGAAGCTCGCGGTGCCGCGCCCGGAGGCGTGCCCGGCCCGGCCCGGGGCCTTCTGGGAAATGCAGTGTCTGAAGCTGTCCCACTCAGCCCTGCTGCTCTTCGGACCGAGCCCCGTGCAACTACAAGTCCCATCACGCTCCGCGAGGTCTTGCTCGCCCGGCTTTTGCAAGGAAAGGAGTGGGGCGAACATGGCTGAAAGCAGCCGGGGCGGTCCAACGTGCCGCGGTGTGGACCCTGGGCAGGACACGGTCTCCAGCAGTGGAAACTGCAACTTTCCAGAGTACGAGCTTCCAGAGCTAAACACGCGCGCTTTCCATGTGGGCGCCTTCGGGGAGCTGTGGCGTGGCCGGTTGCGCGGGGAAGGGGACTTGTCGCTGAAGGAGCCACAGGCATCCGCATTGCCTGGGAGCCAAGGGGTCACCGACTGGGGCCAGGAGGATGCTGCGGTGGCCGGGGATCTGGGCTGCAGCCTGGAGGCAGCAGCCGAGCTGCGGACGGTGTGCGGGTGAGTGCGGGGCCGAGGGCTTTTGCTGCTTAGAGCTAACCTGGGTGCAGCATTGCTCCTGCGTTCCCCTGGGACTCATGATTGGGAGGGACTGTGGTTTAGTCTCAGGGGTAAGAGGACCGCCCTTCCAAACCTCTCCGCTGCTCGAGCTTTCCTGGAACCCCCGGAGAAGTCCCGTGATCCGAATGCACAATTTCGGGGAGTTGGAGTGAAGGGACGGGAGAGCTGCATAAAAGCTTAATTTTTCTACTGGTTAATTTTTTAAGTGCTTGTTAATGTAGGAAAAAACATCAGAGTAAGGCGATGTGTAGCTGCCATTGACAAGACACTTTGACAATGGAGGAGCCTTAGTATGATGAGGCTGGAAGGAGATTTAACCAGAGGAGTGTTAAAACCTTTGATTAATCATGGTTCCTTTTGGGGACCTCCAGGTATGCTGGAGGCATAAAAGGCCCCAAAGTGCCTTTTATAGGGTGGAGAAAAAAAAAAAAACTTTTAACGATCGCTTTCTTCGTTTAACAGTATTTGGCCACCATCCATCAATCGGCCATGTATCCTTTTCTCTGTCGAAAATCCGCACAGATGTCATTGTCCTGAATTCCGGCCTCCTCTGAGCCCCGCCTGCTGGGTTTTATCTGACTTCTTAATTGTTTAATGATGTATTTAGGACACAACCCTGACTCGCTGTGGTCTGGAAGGGTGATTGCTTTTCCTTTTTGTTTATGTTTTAGCCTTGATAAACTGAAGTGCCTTGAGGAGGGTGCGGATCCCGAAGTCATCCCGGAGAATACAGACCTAGTGACTTTAGGGTACGGAATACTTCCTTTTATTATGTGATACTTAAATATTTTTTCAACGTTTTATGATTGATGAGTTAAGAGTACATAATTGTTATCACCCCACCCGCTAAATCGAACCATTAACATTTGGCCGAATTTGCTTTAGCTGTGTGTTTTTGAGATACCTGCGGCAGAAGTCTTTCTCTATTGCTGAGCCATTCAGTAAGTTTCAGACATGGTCATTTAGACCTAAATACAGCAGCATATAGCTCCTCCAAGTATCATTCTCCCACATAATCAGAGAGGTATTATGGCACCTAGGAAAATTAGCAGTAAATACGTAATCTCTAATGTCCAGTCTGTATTCAGATTTGTGTTTACTTTTGTTTATTTTTACTTATTTTTGTGTTTATTTTTAAATGTGTGTTTACAAAGGGACAGTGAATCGACTTAGGTTCCAGTGCAAGCTGAATACTGATCGTGTCTGTCAAACTGTTTTCAGTCTTTAATTTTCACAGACTCATTTTTTGTGAAATAAGATACCAGTGAATTACTAGGAAAATAGAATTAAAAGGCAAACTCAATGAAAGTTTTTTTTTTTTTTTAAGAACAGAGGTTATTATTACTATTATTTTTTGAAGATTAAAAAGACTATTAGGGGCGTCTGGGTGGCTCATTGGGTTAAGCCTCTGCCTTCGGCTCACTATCAGGTCATGATCTCAGGGTCCTGGGATCAAGCCCTGCATCAGGCTCTCTTTCTTTAAAAAAGAAAAAAAAAGACTTTATTAAAGATAACTCCCCCTCCCAAACTTCCAGACGTCTGGGTCATTGTGCTTTTTTATTTTTTCATTTTTTGAAGTATATCATTGTCTTGAATTTTTTTGGAAAGAGGTCACGCAGGGGAGGGTGGGGTGCAAAGGGAGAGGGGGAGAGAGAGAATCCTAAACAGTCTCCACGCTTAGGATGGAGAGCTCGATCTCATGACCCTGATATTATGACCTGAGCCAAAATCGAGTTGGATGCTCAGCTGACTGAACCACCCAGGTGCCCCTTGAATTTTTTTTTTATTGACGTATAGTTGCGATAAAATGCTTCATTAGTTTCAGGTGTATGGCATAGTGCTCTAACAGCTCTCCATGTTCTGTGCTTACCATCTGTCACAACACAAGGCTGTTCATAATACCTGTTAAATTACCACTCACTGTATTCTCTGTGCTGTTCCTTTAGCCCCATGATTCATTTATTCCACAGCTGGAGACCTGTACTTGTCCCTCTCCTTCACCCACTTTGCCTCCCCACCTCTCCTGGCAGCCATTATTCTCTGTATTTATGGGGCTGTTTTCTGCTTTTTTATGCTTGTGTGTTTTCTTTTTTAAATTCCACATATCAGTGAAATTATATAGCATTTGTTTTCCCGTGTCTGACTTATTTCACTTAGCATAATACCCTCTAGGTCCATTCATGTTATTGCAAATGGCAAGATCTCATTCTTTTTTTTTTTTTAAGATTTTATTTATTTATTTGACAGAGAGAGAGATCACAAATAGAGAGGCAGGCAGAGGGGGGGGGGAAGCAGGCTCCCTGCCGAGCAGAGAGCCTGATGCGGGGCTCGATCCCAGAACCCTGAGATCATAACTTGCGCCGAAGGCAGAGGCTTAACCCACTGAGCCCCCCAGGCACTCCAAGATCTCATTCTTTTTAATGGCTGTGTAATATTCCATTACACACACCAAATTTTAATCCATTTATCTATCGATGGACACCTGAGTTGCTTCCATATCATGGCTATTGTAAATAATGCCCTAGTATAGGAATGCATATATCTTTTGGAATTAGTGGTTTGCTTTCTTTGGATGAGTACCTAGTCGTGAAATTATTCGATCGTATGGTATTTATATTTTTATATTTTTCAAGAACCTTCATACTGTTTTCCACAGTGGCTGCACCAATTTAATTCCTACCAACAGTGCCCAAGGGTTCCTTTTTCTCTACATCCTTGCCAATAATTGTTATTTCTTGACTTTTTGATTTTAGCCATTCTGACTAATTAGAGATATCTCTTGGTGGTTTTGATTTGCATTTCTTTCTTTTTTCTTTTTAAAGATTTTATTTATTTATTAGAGAGACAGCAGGAGAGGAACACAAGCATGGGGAGTGGGAAAGGGAAAAGCAGGCTCCCCGCTGAGCGGAGAGCCTGATGTGGGGCTCAATCCCAGGACCCTGGGATCGTGACCTGAGCCGGAGGCAGACGCTGAACGACTGAGCCACTGAGGCACCACTTGATTTGCATTTCCCTGATGATTAGTGATACTGAATATCTTTTCATAGGTCTGTTGGCCATGTGTATGTCTTCTTTGGAGAAATGTCTATTCAGGCCCTCTCCCTTTTTAGTATAAGTTTTTTATTTTGGATATTGACACTTTATTGGATATATCATTTATAAATATCTTCTCCCTTTCAGTAGTTTGCCTTTTTATTGATGATTTTTGTTGCTATATGACTTTTTATTTTGGTATAGGCCCAGGAGTTTATTCTGTTCTGTTTTGTTATTTTGAAGGTTTTATTTTATTTATTGGTCAGAGAGCACACAAGCAGGGAGAGTACAGGCAGAGGGAGAAGCAGACTTCCGGTTAAGCCGGGAGCCGCGTGCAGGTCTCAGTCCCAGGACCCTGGGATCGTGACCTGAGCTGGAGGTGGACACTTAACCAATGGAGCCACACAGGTGTCCCATCCGTTGCTTGAGATGTCTTGAAAAATATCGTTAAAACTGATGTCTAAGAGATTTTTGCCTGTGTTTTCCTTCTGGGAGTTTTATGTTTCAGGTCTCACATTTAGGTCTTTAATCCTTTAATCTGTTCTTTGTGTGTGGTGTGAGACAGTGGTTCAGTTTCATTCCTTTGCATGTTAGCTGTCCAGTTTTCCCAGCACTATTTGTTGAAGAGACTGGCTTTTTCCCATTGTATATGCTTTCCTCCTTCATAGAGTAATTGACTGTGTAAGTGTGGGTTTATTTCTGGGTTCTCTGTTCTGTTGCATGGGTCTGTGTGTGTGTTTTGTGTATACTACAGCTTTGTAGTATATCTTGAAATCTGGGATTGTGATACATCCAGCTTTGTTCTTTCTCAAGATTGCTGTGGCTATTCCCGGTCTTTTGTGGTTTCATACAAATTTTTATTATTTGTTCTAATTCTGTTAAAAGTGCTGTTAGTATTTTGATAGGGATTGCCTTGAGGCTGTTGGTTGTTTTGGGTAATATGGGTATTTTATCAGTATTCTTCCAGTCCATTAGCATGCACTATCTGTCCATTTGTTTGTGTTGGCTTCAATTTCTCTCATCATTGTTCTATAGTTTTCAGAGTATAGGTCTTCCACCTCCTTGGCTGAGTTTATTCCTTGGTATTTTATTCTGGTGAAATTGTAAATGGAATTTTTAAAAAAAATTTTTCTTTATCTGCTACTTTATTATTAGTGTACAGAAATGCAGTCAATTTCGGTACATTAGTTTTATATTGTGCAACTTTATTGAATTCATTTATTTCTTCCAATTATATTTTATTATTAAACTCAATAGTAAAATTACTATTCATACTCAAAGTAAAATTCATATTATTATGACTTTCTGAATGCTTACGTTCATTGTTTCTACTGATTGAAGGAAGAAAAAGCTCTCAGATCAGTGTTGGTCTGCCAGTCACACTGAGAAACACTGTGCTGTGATAGTACTATAGAGAAATGTGTGTGTAATGGTGACCTTTATCATTTCCAGTTTGGAGCCCACTTCACACCACCTCATCTTTTTTAATCCTTGATCCTACCCTTTCTGTTGTCCCCCTTGAAAATTTGGGTGTTTCAACTCCACCTTGGTTTCTTTTATAATAACCGCTAAATCTCTTTTCCTTATCCCCACTGCTAATGTGTACATTAGTGATACTTGGAGCACCAGGAATGCTTCCCATCTCTCCTAGGTCTAGTTTTCTCCTCTTCTGATTTTCTCATCTGTGCTGCCACTTGAGCGTGCTCATTTGCTGAGAAGTTCCCAATGGCTGTACCTCTCCTCCATGACAGATTTTAGATTCCTTACGTAGACATGTGAAACTCCCCACTTAGAGTCCAAATCTGCCTTTCCAGAGTTCTTTTCAACCACTTTCTCTTTATTATGGTCCTCAATCCCAGGACCCTGGGATCAAATGGCTCAGGAGGCCCCTTTCCCATCTAAAACTCCATATTTGAAGCCATAGATTCCTTTCCATATTACTACAGCCAGTCTCCTCCCTTAGGAAATAGATTCCCTTGTAATGTCCAGAACTCCAGTTGTAATATTTCTGAAGTTTTTGAAAGCTCATTGAGAGTCGAGACTCCCCATCTGTGTATTGCCCCTAAGCTTATTGTGCTGTTTTGCTTCCATTGGTGCTCTTTAACTGTCATTGATCGATGGAGTTGGACAATTCTAAAATGTACATCATGTCTCTCTTAAAATCTTTCACTGGCTCTTAGGCAAAAATCCTAAGTTACTCCGTGGCTCCCAAGGGCCTCTGTAGAATGGATCTTGCAGATCTTTTCAGCTCTCCGTCCGCAGTGCTTCAGACACACTGCAGTTTTCAGTGCCTGGACTGTGCACTCACTCCAGGCCTTTGCTTTGAACACTTAACACCTCTGCATCCTTCTGGTCTTGCTGACTTCTAGTCATCCTGAAGGACTGTGGACTCCCAGTGAGGCCCCTTTTATGCTCATGTAGCCCCCGTACCTCCCTGTTGAAATACTCATCACAGGGCGCACCCAGGTGGCTCAGTGGGTTAAGCCTCTGCCTTTGGCTCAGGTCATGGTCTCAGGGTTCCAGAGCTGCATCCGGAACCTGCTTCCCCCTCTCTCTCTGCCTTGTGCTCTGCCTACTTGTGATCTCTCTCTCTGTCAAATAAATAAATATTTTAAAAAAAGAAGAAATACTCATCACACCCATGATATACTTATTTAATTTTTTGTCTTCCTAGGTAGACTTAAAAGTTCCATTAAGTATGCCTGTCATACACACC